CAAAATATTCCCCTCCAGTTTTTAGATTGACAAAGACTTAATTACATCTTGCAATATTTTCCTTGATTTTAACAGATAAAATTGACTTTTTAATAAAGAAATCAAAATTGAACAAACAGTACAATTAGTATCTCCTATAATTTTTAACCAAAGTAAACAATATCATGATAAAAAAAAAAAATAGAATAAAGTTTAGAAATAGTTGCTTTTTTCCATGTAGATGGCCCAGGAACAAAAGAGCACTCCTGAATAAAAAATTTAAATCAGTTCTGAACTTGTAAGTTAATCTATAGAGATATAGTTTTCCATGTTATAATTAATTAATTAGGATAATCCTTTTTATTTTCTAATAATTCTAAAATCTTATATGAATAAATTTAGGACTTGTTTGTTTATTGAAAACTAGTTTTTTTAATTAAAAAATGGTTTTCCTGAAAAGTTTAGAAAATATTTTTTTTTATTTGACAATATTATAAAAAATAAATTTGAAAATATTTTTTAGTGTTTGGTCATGCAATAAAAAAAGATAAAAAAATAATTTTTTAATACTTTGTAAGTCTTTTTTTATACATAATATTAAATATAACTATTTGACTACTTATAATAAAATATAAAAAATTAATTGATGTCTTGGAGGAGAAAGAAGTATTTTGAAGAGTATTTTCAGAGTTAAGAAAAGGAAAAAACTTTTCTTTTATAAGGACTTTTTTTTTCATAAGAAACTATTTTTCTAAAGTTTATCAAATATAAAAATGTAAAGGAAATAATTTCTAGAAAATGGTTTTCTTGGGAACAAACAAGGAGTTAGTATAATGACTTTGATATTGAAAGCTTCATGAAATAAGACTCGTATCTATAATTTTTCAATTATAATTATATAATAAAAAGGGTTCACTTCCAATAAAGTTTTGTACGGATTTCCGATGAATTAAATATACCCTTTAGAATTTTACTGGAAATTTTAAAGCAACCGACCATTATAAAGTTCTGGAGTTTTTGCTGTAGTTTTAAACACTTATTATGAATTTATTATGAATTGTAATAGTAAAATTATCTTTTTATTTTTTAGTTTAAGAGTATTTGAGTTTTTTTATTTAACTAAATTGTTATTAAAAGATTATTTCTTTTGGGATGTTTTTGTTTTTTTTAATTTTTCTATACAGTAAAAATATCTTCTTACATCTACAGCCACCAAAATTTATAACTGTTAATCAAAGATTTTCTTAACATTTTATAATATTTATAACATTAAAAATACTTATTTATTTTCAAGATAAAAAAATAATGAGTTGATGGACAGGAGTATTTTATGTTTTTTCAATTTTTATATACAAAACAATAACGTTTTTAGTTTAAGAAAAAGAAGCTTTTTCTTTGAGAATATTTTAGTATTTTTTACATGATATTTTGTATAATTAAAAGGATCATAAAAAACACATTTCAATATTTTTATATTGTATTTTTATTTTTTAATCAGAAAATTGTGGACTCGTGTTCTACACATTCCAATAAAAAGACAGTACCTGCAACATTAAAAAAACATGTATAACGTTTTCTAGCGGCCAATTCTAGCTATCAATTGTCTAATAAGATTGAAGTCATGCCTTCTTCCACATGAAGCGGCACATATAGACATATAATAATTAGATTGTTGTCGGTGATTAATTGTTTGTGTTTTTTTTTGTTCTCTCTCCTAAACTAAAATGCATAATTGTACTATTTATTTGATTGAGTTGGATATAATTAATCAGGTCCACACATTTTAGGTCTGATATAATTGCTAGATTTAGGAGCCATGAATTTGATATAATTATCAGGTCCAGGTCACCTAGATCTAGTATGATTATCAAACCCATGTTGTTTAGAACATGATTAACAAATTTCAAAAATTTTAAATTTAACAATTACATAACATTAATCTACTTAGATTTAGCAATTATATCATATTTATAATCTAGTAAGAGGTTGAATTAATAAGTTTTAAAATTATATTGCCCAATTTAATTTAATAATATTGTAAAAAATCTTTATACTTAATATTTTTTAATAAAGTTTTAGAAAATAATTTCACCCGCAGCGCAGCTTGAGCAAAAATCTACTTAAATGAAATTCACACGCAAGTCGATCGTCACCGTGATGACGTAAACCATTAACTCAATTGGTCAAATAGCCAGCCTTTTTCATGCCTGACATGTTTTTCATGCCTCAATAACTCATCTACCAACACAATCTAGACATATGGACTCAGAAAATATTATAGAAAAGAATCCTAGCTTGCCAGCTACCTTCCCCACTTACAGCGTCTCTAATGGAGGTGCTAAATGAAAAGTCAAAAACAAAAGAATAATATTTTGAATTTATATTTATTTTTTATATTTTAAGGGAAAAGTTAAATAAAATGCGAGAATGTTTTTTTTTTTCACAAATATTATCCCTATATATCTTTTAAAAGAGTCAAAATTAACAAAATAGGGCTAAAAAAATAAACCAATTAAATATAACTATGTAAAAAAAATAACATCAAAATCATTAAAAATAAATAAGTATTTATTTCACTTTAATAGAATTGACTTTTCAAATGGTTTTTTTTTATTAGAGTATATATAGTAAAAAAAGTTAAATTTTTATTATTCAAAATGTTATTTTATCAACTTACCTCTTCAAAATAGAAGATGGAAGATGCTCTTGCACATAGATTCCTCTAATTTGATCCTAGAGTTAATATGTTTTATTTGAATTGATTTTTAATTAAAAAAGAATTATATGTATATATAAACACTGCCAGCACTATTATTATTATATTTTCTCTTTCATAATTTTTTTTTTACTATTCAACCATAATTATATTTTTTTTTCAATTCTATTTATAAATAATTACACCATATATTCTTTTAGAACCACTACTATTATATTTTTATTATCTATCTAATATATTCGTATTATGTTTAACTTTTATATTTAATTAATAGACTATATCTAATATATTTAGATTTACATGATACATTTAATAAAATAATATTTTTATTTTTTATTCCATTTTATTTTAAAATTTATATTCATTTAAAATTTATTTAAAAATGTAATTTAGAATTTATTTAATAAAATAATATACTGTGCGCCGCCCAAAGCCCAGAGTGCTAAACATGCGCAAGCAGTTTTTTGCAGTACTGATCGAAGTTGACTCATCCGATCACGCCATACACGTCAAACTTCAAGACCATGCATTCAAAAGAAATAAACACAGTTTTTTGTTTCCGTGTATTCTGGGAGACAGGAAATAATACATTAATCTATTCAAACAACAAGAAATAATTATTATGAAGTGAAGATATTTTGGTTAATAATTAATTGAATATTTTCCAGTAGTCTACTTAAGTTATAATAATATTAATGGTGGCTAGATTTATATAAAACATATATAAAATTCTGAAATAATATATATATAGCTTTGATATCGTATCTAATCTATGTATCAATCAGTTCTATCCCACATGAAAAGAGCCCAAATCGATAGCCAGAAGAAAGAACAATATATTAATAATCTTTAATTATATTGGCAAGAAGCAAATATTCGACATGATTGAGTCAGTCTTCTGGGTAGGAAACTCATGCATATGAGATCTCCATGAATACTTAACTTAACCAGCAAATCTCAAATTACAATTTAAAACTCATTATCGTCTTGGACAAACTTCTTTAGCCTGTGAGATATCCTCGCAGCTCCATTAATACTGTGGGAAGAATCTCCAACCTGCACAATTAATTTGAAAGGACTTAAGTTACAGAAGAACTCTACAACTTATAAACAATCAATATTCTTAATTAAAAAGTGCAGAAAATAAATTGTCAAGCAAAATTAATAAAAAAATTATCACCTAGGTAGCTGCTATACCTTAGAATGTATTGTATGGAATACAGTATCTTCTACAACAGAAAGACTGGCATTAATAATCTCTGCTCCTTCTTCATGAAGCACACGAATGATCTCATTGAACATGAACCGACTGTCCAGGCCATTCATCAAAACAACCTCTAAAGTGGAACCCATTTCAATAACCTTAATTTGTGGTGATCTTAAACAGGCTGTTGTTCCACTACCACTATTCTTGCTAGTATAATCTGCCTTTTCCATTCCCATTAAACTGTCTTTCTTTTCCTTCAACTTCTCTAAGTTAGTCTGCAACCTTTTTATGTAGCTTGCAGCTTCATCTAGTTGATCAGGCACTGACAGCACTGGCTCCTGCACCGCAATCCCCATAATAAAAAAAGAAAGAAAAATAACAAAAAAAAGATCAGAGCTAGAAAGATCATAACTAAAAGAGCTTTCATGTTATACTATACACAACAATAACGTGTGAACAATGAGGGAGAGAGCGCGCGAGAGAGAGAGAAACCCTTGAGCTTTGATGAGCGAGAGAGAGAGAGAGAAACCCTTGAGCTTTGATGGGGTACAAGAGAATTAAGCTGGGAGTAGAGTTCCTTCATTTGATTTCTTCTATTCCTCTCTATTAATTTCCTGTCAGTTCTTGATGAACTAAGGTTGTGCTCCATCAATGTATATACCTACAGCAATACTAGCTAGCTTCTAACCCACAAAAGAAAGGAAGAAGAAAAAAGACAGCAGAACTAGCTCTGGTCTGTGTTTAATTTGAGTGCAGGCTTTTATCTGTATGGTAGAAAGCAAAGGCAAAAAAGCAAAATACATAATATGGTTAGATGCTTTTCAGAAACGTCTGGCCGTCTGGGGACCGGGGAAATACTGGTGGGGCTGTTTTGTTTTTCATGCATACGGGTCTTCTCGTAGACAATGGACAGCTTTTGGTACTGTACCAATTTCGGCTATGACAATCACATAAGAAATTTGAATGAAATCACAGTCAACGTATTTCAATTCCTAACGTATCGAACTACTAATTAATGGTTTTTTAGGATATTGATGATCGGAAGTTTTTAGACTGATTGGCAGATCTGATTTTTTTTATTAAGTGTGGTTTGTTTCCTTATCGTTTTGCCGTGACCTGATTGAAAAACATTTCAGCTTGAAAGGTTTTAAGAATTTAATCTGTAATTAAAATTCATGAGATTATCAACAACTACTTGAAACTCGAAGGGCTCGTTTTTATAGTTACTTGGGTAAAGACACTCTTCATACAATTAGAAATTAATGTTTTTTCTAAAAAAAGAAGCAAAGGGATTGTTTCTTTCAAAAATTTTGAAAACAAATAATGAAAACTCGTTTGTTTTCAGAAAAATAAAATTAGCAACAAGTTGTGAAAACTTCTGAGAACCAGAAACCACTTTTTTTTTTTAAGAAAAAGGTTTTCAAAACTAATTTTTTTATATTATGATCTAATATTTTCGATGTCAGCTCAGATTCAAAAGGTCAAAGCACTCGAGATCCAGATTGGCACCTAGTTCAAAGCACACGAGATTCAATGCAAGAACTAGTGTGAGGCTTGTAAAATTTAAGCCGGGACCACTTTAATTTGAGGTGTCTAATATTCTAGCAAGGACAACGTTTGAGGTGCTTGAGGTTTGAATGAGAACTTGGTTTAGGTTGCCAGGAATTTTGGTCGTGATCATGTTTAGGGTCCGGGGTTCGGTCTAGAACCTTGTCCAAGCTATCCGAGA